GGGTTGGACCTGTCAGCTCCCCTGAAGGACCCGCCACGGAGCAGAGCTCGGGGAACTCGGGGTGACACCCCCCATCGACTCCAGAGGAGGGGCACCAGAACACGTTTCCCTGTATGTGACTCACGATGCAGCCGAAAGGTGCCAAGGGAGTAGAGGAGACAGGCCGTCCTGGTTCTGAAACACTCACACGTGCCCGACCACCTCACGGAGCCTTGACTCCGAGGGGCCTTGGTTCTGGGATGAAAGTTCTGAGTCGGAGCCCGTAGTAGTGTCAGTCTTTGCTGGAAGAGGATACACCGATTTTCCGGGTTCCCCCGCCGGCCAGGAAGCTTGTCTGGGACCTTCTGCCTGCAGGGCTGGGCACCACAGCGCAGGAGGAAGAGGGGATCCCGCCGGCGGGAGTGCTAGCCCAGGACGCTGCAGGACAGCCACGCCCCACGCTGCCCCGAATTCTCCGAGATGAAGGTGAGCTGCAAACCGCCGAGCGCGCCTCCTGCTCAAATGCTCCAACTGTGCCCTCCGCCCGCACCTTCTGTGCTGGTGGAGAAGTCAGCCTCTTCTAGGAAAATCTTCAGTGCTTTGATAACTTGACGTTCAAATGAGAAATCTGAAGCCGACTTCTGCGGTCTTACCGTCTTCGTGAGTGGTTGGGGGCGCCCCACTTTCTTCTTTTATTTTTTAACTGAACTATATTGAGGCATAAATTACAGAGTGATGAGGACTGACTAGCGCAGTTTGGTGAGGCCTGACATTCGTGTACACCTCCTGCGACCGAGCCCTGAATTACAAGAAAGGTTGACTCCACCCAGACACACAGCGTTCCCCACGAGGGACACTCCCGGAGCCGGTGGGCAGGCACCTCCCCGGCAGCTCAGGTGGTCCCCGAGCTGACCTCCATCACACGTGACGCCTGCGTCCTCCTCACTTTAACGACGAGCTGGTCACCCTGACTCGTGTGGGCCCAGTGCTCACTTCGGGGACAGAGGTTGTGACTGCACTGTGACGTCCACGTGGCAGTTTTCCCTTCTTGCTGTCGTGACTCCCACGTGGTAACTTTTACTCCCTTTGGGGGTTTGGTCTCTGGCGTGGGTGACAGTCCAGGCCTCGCCCGTCCCTCCTCACTTGCTAAGCCCCCAGCCGGGTCCCTACTTCCCTGCCGCATCCCCACCGCATGTCCCCACGGAGGGTCTGAGAGACGGATCCGCTTCCAGAGGCCCCCATGCCACCCGTCCAACCCCTCGCTCGGCCCGAGAACCAGGCCCCCAGGATGGAGGGGACTCTCTGGGCTTTGTCCCAGGTGCAGCCTG